AGCCCAAAACCCCAAAACCCTAAACCCTAAAACCCCAAACCCTCAAACCCTAAACCCTAAACCTCTCAGAGCCCGTGTAGAGCCCTCATAAGGCAGGACCCAAAACCCTGAGGCGCCAGGCTCTAAATGCAGAGACCTTTAGCACAGGGGTCGGTAGAATTTGCATTTGGGGGTTTAAGGGTTTAGGGGGGTTTAGGGGTTTAGGGGTGTAGGGTTTAGGGTTTAGGTTTAGGGGTGTAGGGTTCAGGGTTTATGGTCTAGTCACAGATCCATTGGCATGGCAGGTGCTGCCACCTGGAATGCAAGGCAGCCCGTCATCTCAAAACCCTTTAGGCACTTGAAGGTTCATGGGCAGTTGTAAGTGGGGTTATAAACAGGGTAACTGTTAACTATGGTTAACTTATAACCCAACGTATACCTTACCCTACCAAAACCTACTTTTTTGTAGGTTCTGATTACAAACCCTAAGATGGAATTTATAGGGACCCTACAAAAAAGTAGGTTTTGGTAGGTTAAGGTATATAACTCCCCATGAACCTCCAAGCAGAGAAAGGAACGCTGTACGCGTTTCGGGTATGAGGCAGACTTAGGTTGGGAGCCTCGTTGAAAGGGATGCTACGGTGGATGATCCCGCCGACGGTCCTTGCAATCCTGGGGTACAGTACGGTATAGTGTAGTCGCGTACAGTGTAAGTAGTACAGTGTAGAAACGTATAGAATACTGTTGATGATCTAAATCCTGCATTACCCATTATCAGGCATATACCATAATTCCCATAGTTTAGGGTCCTTAAGGTAATGCGGGGTTTCTATCATCAACTGCAGTTCGTGTAGACCGGCCAAGATCCAGAGTGGTGGTTCTAGAACATGGGACTTTCCGAAAACTAGGGTACCTTCTTTTGGGGTCCTTATAATAAGGATCCTACTATTTCGGGTACTATGTTAGGGTCCCCTATTTTCGGAAACCCCACATGAGGGCTTTGAGGGTGCAAAAGAGAGGTTTGAAGAATGAGTTCGTAACAAAGCTGTCCTTACTTACTCCCTTGTCTGTTAGCTGCTAAGTTTCGTCCCTAAGCACTAAACCCTAAACCCTAAACCCTAAGCCCTAAACCCGAAGCCCTAAACCCTAAGCCCTAAACCCTAAACGCTAAACCCACCCTCAGTTTAAGTCTGCTGCGGCGGCCCCATAGTAGGCATCGCCGAGCCGGAACACCCCCCGAAGCCGATTGAAGCCGCACTCCGAAGCTTAGACGAGCGTGGGCTAGGGTCTAGGGTCCTGAAGTTCGGGGTTTGGGGTTTAGGGTTTCGGGTTCAGGGTTTAGGGTCCAGGGTTCAGGGTTCAGAATTTAGGGTTCAGGGTTTCAGGGTTAAGGATTTAGGGTTAAGGGTTTAGGGTGTAGGGTAGAGCTTCGAGGTGTCCCCAGGGCCTTGATCAAATCTGAAGGCTCATGTACTTGGAGGATCAGGAGACTTAGTAGCTATCCATAGGCTCCATTCTACTTCCTTTTTGGGGTTACCTTATTATTATTACTATTATTATCGGATCCAAAAAAATAAACCACAAAAAGGAAATACAATGGAGAGTCTGTGGGTGGGTTATACGCACCTGCTATTTGGGGGTTGGGCCCCTGATGCTTTGTTCCAAGAAGTCCAGAAGCACTGCCGGAGGCTCTGCTGAGTGTGAGAACGCTCATGGTGCAGCCGTCGCCATTGCTCCGCGGGAAGATGAGTTATCAGGGACCCGATACCTTAACCCTAAACCCTAAACCCCTAAATCCCTAAACCCTGACTTGTATACAGTTTACGGAAATGCCAGGGGTGCTTTACGATCCCACCAGCTGCCTGGAAGAACAGGGCCCCTGTCTCGGACCGTGACAGGGCAAGTTTTGCAGGATTTGCGAGATTCCAGCTCCAAGATATGGGAGGGCTCTTGATGTTAGAGGTCCCTGTTGGGGGTTTCTGCATGCTACGGATACGATTCTTTAGGGTTCCATTGAGCGGAAGAGTCCCGTGTTCGCCGAAACCGCCTTTTAGATTTTGCGCTGGCCCTGTCGGAAGCCAAACCCCCAAAACAAAGCCCTGGATAAGCCGAAACTCAAAACTCCAAGTCCCAATCCCTAAACCATAAACCCCCAAACCCTAAACCCCAAACCCTAAACCCCAAACCCTAAACCCTAAACCCCAAACCCAAAACCCCAAAACCCTGAACCCCAAACCGTCCCAAACCCTAAACCGAAACCCCAAAGTAACCTGAAAGCTTCACCACTGTCTGCCTATCGATCTGTCTATTTATCTGTCTATCTATCTCTGTGTGTATAAGCCTATGTATACAAACATGGATACCGGATTTTCGAGGATGGGCCTCCGTCGTCATAACCCAGGAGAATGAGGCACCCGCAGAGATTCGAAGTCCGGCAAACTTTGGCTTTAGGCTTCGGGGTTCGGGTTGAGGGTTTAGGATTTCGGGTTTAGGGTTCAGGGTTTAGGGTTTAGGGTCCTGAAGTTCGGGGTTTAGGATTTGGGGTTTAGGGTTTAGGGTTTTAGGGCTTTAGGGTTTTGGGGCTTAGGGTTGAGGGTTTAGGGTTTAGGGCTTTCGGCTCTCAAGTTTAGGATCTTTGGGGCCTTTATGATGTACCCTCTACGGTGCTTTGCCAATGCGCGTGGTGATGTGAGGGATGAGATACAGAGTCACTGGAAACCTTGAACCACGATGTTCACGGCTAGGAATGGAGGCACCGCCACTTGGATCCCACTGCGCTTTCCTTTCTTGCTAGCACTGTGGGAGTAGCATCTGTTTTGCGTTCTTGCTCTGCCTGACCGCATAGTCTGACATGGCAAAATTCCTCGTCTCCCTTGTGCTTGTTTATTTCTCTTCAATGACGCGTTGTTGTGACAGGAGCCCCACGGAGAGCTCTGGGTTGATCTCCAACGGTCCAACGCTTGAGAGACGCTATGATAATATAGGGACTATTCTGGGGGGTTCTTATGATTATAGTATACCATACCCCAAAACCCTATTCTAAGTGTTAAGACCCCTACATTACACAACTGGCCCGGGTAAGGATCGGCGCCGGCCGTGCAAATTTGCACTCAATGCTGCCGACCTAACATGGCCATGTGCGACAGAGTACTGCCCATGGATGACGACATGAGAGCGAGCTACGTGCAACCAACCCGGAACCACGACCCCCAAAGCCCTAAACCCGACCATACGTCCGAAACTCGAGAAAGCCGTGCCACACTGCTGCCCTAGATCTAGAAGCGCACAATGCATCATATGTGCATTTATATGGTTAAAGGGATCCTGCCTAGGTAATGAGTCAGACCTTCCATAAACCCTGAGCCCTACACCCTCAACCCTAAACCTTGTACTTGTATCAACCCAATGTTATAAGCCCCACTTAGTCCACAAAATATGTTTGTTGACCTAACCTCCTTAGCTAAAACCCTCCAAAGGAGTCCCATACAGAAAGCCAACAGACACTCATAAAGCTGAACAAAACCTGACAGAAACCTTTACAAGAACCGTCTCGGAAACCCTGAACGGTTGCAAGCCGTAGACCCCTAAACCCTAAACCCTAAGTATACATTCCTCTCCTGGCCATGGTGCCTTCGCTCTTCGACGCGGCACCGGCAGTGCTCGGGCTAAGGCCTCGGCTGGGGAGTCAGGTGTAGGAGCATATGCCCGAGGGAATGCTGCTGTTGATAGCAGTAATGGTTTAAGATTTAGGAGTTTAGGGTTCAGGGAACAGGCTTAGGTTTTGCAACTAAGGCTGAAATGAGAATAAAGCAGGACCCTCGATAACTTTAGCACCAAAAGCAGTAAGAGCAGTGTAACGATGATAAGAAGAACCCAGGGCTTGGGATTTTGGGCTCACGCGTTCTCGGGCCTTGGGTTCTTTTTCAGACTTTGAAGAGTTTAGCGTGCAGGGCGCGTGCTGGTCGTCATCGCCAAAGCTCGGGTCGTCGTCATCGTCTTCAGCATAGCTGTCATCGTCATCACCTCATCACCATCATAAGCACCACAACTGGCTGGTGGCCATCATCATCATCATCATCATCACCATCACCAACTCCTCCATCATCATCGTCATCACCACCACCATCATCATCATCATCATCACCATCATCACCAACTCCATCATCATCGCCATTGCCATCATCACCATCATCATCATCATCATCATCACCACCATCATCATCATCACCATCACCAACTCCATCATCATCATCATCGTCATCACCATTATCACCGCCAGCGTCGTCGGCATCGTCGCAACCATGGCTGACCGTCCTCACTCTCATCATGACGGCCACCTTTCCCGTGTTCATCGTCTGCATCCGCCAGTCCCGCTCAAGGTTGTGGCCATCGTCATCGTCATCATGATTACAGCATTCTTCTCGACATCGTGAGAACTGTCGTCATGCTTCTGGTCATCATCCAGACCACATCCTCCCCCCTTACCAGCTTGATCGCCAGAGTCCGTGTACTTACACAATCATCGTCAGCATCGCCATCATCATTGTCTTCCCCGTTTTTCTGCTGATGCTGTCAATGAGAGACTTTAGATGCCTGAAATCTTTGCGGGGCCGCCGTTTGGTTCTCCAGCATTTGTGCTGTAGCTGCCTGCTCCTGGCACCATGCCCTCCTCCGCCACACTTTCCGATGTCGCCTTCGAGGGCTACAAGGCAGAGACGATGGCGGTCACCAACAACCACTCTGTCCGAGCACATAAGACCCGTGTGTCCGAGGAGCTTTGGGTTTCAGGGTTCATTAACTGATTTTTTGAGGATTTGAGGGGTCTTCGGGTTCAGGGTTTAGGACTTGAGGGTTATTGGGGTTCAGGGTTAGGGTTCGCACGGCTCAGGGTTATCTGGGTTTAGGCTTCTTAGGGGAGGAGGGTTATCAGCGTTCCGGGCCTTCAGGGTTCAGTTTCCGAGGAGTTCAAGCAGCTGGAGAAGAACGACCGGCTGCTCAAGGAGAACCCACGCCGGTGGGTCATGTTCCCTCTGCAGTACCCAGAAGTTGGGGACCTAACCGGTTACTCATCCAGCTGTGCTGAAAGCAAGGGCTCGGAAGCTGTGGTAGGACCGCCTGTTACCCTTTCAAGCCCAAAACCCAAAACCCTAAACCGTTAAAGCCGCAGTATGGTACGCCCTGGCGGCGTGCATTTGTGGCAGTCGTATTTAATAGTGTTTAACCACATGCTCTACAAAAGGGATTCCGAGGTGTTGTGTCTCTGTAAAGCCGCCCAGAAGGCCCAAGCCTAAAACCCTAAAACCCTAGACCCTAAACCCTAAACCCCTAAACTTAACCCTAAACCCTAAACCCTGGACTGCGCTGACTATCGGAGGTTTGGGAGATGTACAAGAAGCATGAGGCTTCTTTCTGGACTGCCGAGGAGATTGACTTGGCGCAGGACAACGGTTTAGGGTTTAGGGTTTAGGGTTGGCGCAGGACAACTGTCATACTGCTATGCTTTTGTTTTATTTTTGCTATCTCTGCTCTTCTTACTTACTCATGTTGCTACTGATACTACGGTCAGCATATAGATATGCTTATTATTACTGTTATTGCTTTTGCTTTGTTCTATTCATTCTAATACCACTATTACGACTATTGTGATTATTATCTTCACTGTTCTTAATGGCCCTAAACCCTAAACCTTATCAGGACGACAAGGACTGGGCCACTCTCAATGAAGGCCAGCGGCTTTGTGGTTCGGGGTTCATGGCCTCAGGATGGTTGCTCCGGGGTTTCGGGTTTAGGGTTTATATAGGCTAATAGGGTTTAGGGTTAAGGGTTAGAGGCTTAGAAGTTAGGATAGCTGAGAGTTGAGTGTTTGGGGTTTGTAGGATCAGAATTTGTGGTTTCAGGGCTGCAGGTCTCGGGTTCTCGTCTAGCAGAAGGTGAGCAGCACTTCGTGAAGCACGTCCTGGCCTTCTTTGCGGCATCCGACGGCATCGTGCTCGAGAACCTCGCAGTGCACTTCTCGACAGAGGTGCAGATCCCAGAGGCTCGAGCCTTCTATGGCTTCCAGATAGCCATGGAGAACATCCATTCCGAGACATACTCTCTGTTGATTCAGCAGTACATCAAGGACCCTGTAGAGAAGGATAGCCTTTTCGACTCCATCCACACCATGCCGGCTGTGCAGCAGAAGGCTCTGTGGGCCGTGCAGTGGATGAATCGTGAGAGCAGCTTCACTGAGCGCTTGGTGGCGTTTGCCGCTGTGGAGGGCATCCTCTTCAGCGGCTCCTTCTGCGCCCTCTTCTGGCTGAAGAAGCGCGGCCTGATGCCGGGCCTGACCTTCTCCAACGAGCTCATCTCCCGCGATGAGGGCCTCCACGCGGACTTTGCGTGCCTGCTCTACGGCATGCTGGAGCATAAGCTCCCAGAAGACGTCGTTCACGAGATGATCCGTGGCGCAGTCGAGGTGGAGCGGGAGTTCATCTGCGGGGCTCTCTCGTGCGATCTGATCGGAATGAATAAGGACTTGATGACCCAGTACATCGAGTTCGTCGCAGACCGCTTGTTGACGGCCCTGGGACACGGCAAGATCTTCAACTCTTCCAACCCCTTCGATTGGATGGAGATGATCTCCCTGCAGGGCAAGACCAACTTCTTCGAGAAGCGCGTCGGAGAATACCAGAAGCTTGACTTGAACGGCCTCGTTTCCGGTTTGAAGGTGATGGCCATGGGCAAACCTTGTATAATGTATCACATTCTGAGGTTGAAAGTACCCTCGCCTTGAACCCTGTTGTCTTTACCTGGACCCTGAACAACGTACCTACGTTCTTAGCTTATTGCGACTTCCTTGTAATATTTGTAAGAAAGGTAGCTTATTTGGGGTCAAGGTACTCTTTCGCTGGGTGGGCATGGCTTATCGTCTGTCAGATCTGGGAAACGAACAACCTCCAGCTAGGGATGTTTAGGGTTTAGGGTTGAAATTGGGACTTCCGAAAGAATTCCTTTAGAGTAGTGGCGACTGCCCCCTAAATCCTTCCAGATCTATGCTTCATGCGTGCAAACCGAAAGCCATGAACTTCTGATGTATAACAGCCGCATTGCATCAATCGGTAGTATGCAGAAGAATACCCTAGACCTAAAACCTACATCCTAGGACCCTAAACCCTGTACATTCAAAACCCCCAAAGCCGTATACCCTCCAACGGCAAGGTCTCCTTTAGATAAAATCGTCAGCTGTAGCATAGCATACTATCACAGTATGTTTTGAGAATACAAGATATACGGTCGACTACACTAGTATGATATCATAGTATGTTATATGATTGAAAGACCAACGCATCACTACCCCAAAGCCAGGAAGGCGGGGGTCATGGCGGGTGTCTCGAACCCTTTGACGGCCTTCGCGCTGGACAAAGACTTCTGACTTCTGAGGTAGGGTGGCAGGGGTCGGCTGATTTGGGTTTAGCGTTAGGGTTCAGGGCTTAGATACAAAGCAAAAACGCATGAACAACTCGATGGGCAAACACATAATCGATCCAAACATATCCTTTGAGGTATTTTTGTGTATCGCTTGAGTTCTTAGATCATCAAAGGTTTGCTAATTATTTGGTGTTAATTGTTATGGTAGTTTTTCAGGATTTGCAGTTCAGGGCTTTGGCTGTTTAGGGATCAGGATGGTGATTGCGAAACTCTAAACTCTAAACCCATGATTAGGGTTCACGGTTTAGGATTTTAGAGTTTGGGGTTAAATGGGGGTGAAAGAGACCCTGTTTTGAAACAAGCCCCGAGGTCTTGTCACCGCTTTCGGGGCGGCCCTTTTCTGGTTGGGCAGACGTTGCGCAGGGAGCCTAATTAGAGCCAATCAATGTGTACAGGAGATCGGGATTGGCGCTGTTTTCTGCCCGTTAACGTCATTCTAGCTAGCATGATCGTGTCTCTGACTATCCATGGTGCTATCATGAATAGTATCGCTGCCGTTACGACTGTTGTTGTTTCAGGGGCCATGAGCATTCTGTCGGAGCTGCCCAGATGCCGCTGCAATGGGCGTCGCGAGGGCCCATGGGGGCCAGCCGATTCTGGCAGACACGACGAAAACCCAAGAAAGAGCCCGGGCCCAGAAATCCACATCCAGAGCCGGAAGCCCTTAAGCTCAGTATCCCTACATCCTTAACCCGGACCCCTTAAAATCAAGTCGAACGGAAGTGCTGGGAGCCGCAATTCGAGCAGGCAGCACTAGCCGGTTTTAGGGTTGCAGGGCGTAGCGAGTTGTGTGTGCAAGACGCATCGTGGCCCTGCAGTTGAAACAATCGCGCCTGCCGCCGACAGTCTGTGGTTGAGTTTCTGGAGGCCCGAAACCCTAAACCCTAAACCCCAAAAGCCCTAAACCCTAAACCCAAAAACCCTAAACCCTAAACCCTATAAGCTTGACGGTTCAGGACGACTGAGTTGGTCCCTGGTTGAGGATTGTGTGCTTCTGAAAGATTCGGGGCCAATTTGCCACAGTTAAGGTCAAGGGTTTAGACTTTTGGGGTTTAGGGGTTTAGGGGTTGATGGTTTAAGGTTTAGGGTTTAGGGGTTTAGGGGTTTAGGGGTTTAGGGGTTTAGGGGTTTAGGGTTTAGGTTTTTAGGTTTCGGGCTTATAGGTTTGGTTGTTTTGCCATATGAATCAATGGCCGGACGCCAAACAACGCCGCTAACCGCTTAACCCCGAACCATTACAGAACCTGGTGGAGCAGTCTGGAACCCTAAACCCTAAACCCTAAACCCCTAAACCTTAATCCCTAAACCCCTAAACCCCAAAACCCTAAACTTCGAATCTTCTTAATCCCTAAACCCCTAAACTCTAAACTTCGAATCTTCAGCCCTAACCCAGCACCGCTAAACTCAGGATCTCTAAATCGCTGGAGGCGCTCACCCGAATCAGCCTTGCAGCCTTTGTAGAACTTCTGCACAACCTTCATGAGGGTTTAGGGTTTAGGGTTCAGGGTTTAGGGTTTAGGGTTCAGGGATCAGGGTTTAGGGTTGAGGGTTTAGGGTTCACGGTTTAGGGTTTAGTGATACGGTTGAGGGTTTAGGGTTTAGGGTTGAGGGTTGAGGGTTTAGGGTTCTTCGCAACCCCTAACCTCGAACCTCTGAGCCACTTCAGCCTCGAATCCTTCTAAAACCTGTATAGAACCTCACCTTAAACCCTAAACCCTAAACCCCTAAGCTCTAAAGCCCTAAAGCCCTCAAGCCCTAAACCCCTAAACCCAACACCCGGAACCCTGGTAGAATCCTAGTGCCTTTGTGACTTCAGAGGAGCCCTCAGGTCCCTTAAATGCTGATGGAACCCTCAAACCCTCATGGAATCTGTAGAAGCATCTATCTGAAACCCGAAACCCATCTATGGGTAGTTCTCTAAATGAGGGTCCCTTTTAGGGTCCTTTTTAGACGTGTGCCGCAATATACTTGGGATCTAAGAAGGTGCCCTAATTTAGAAAGCTACCCATACAACTTCAGAACCTTGATACAGGACCTTTCGATTCGAGCCTGCAACCATCGGAACCCGCAACACCGAAAAAGAAGCACCCCCAAACCCCAAACCCGAAATCCTAAACCCCAAAGCCCAACCTTCAAAACCCGAAAGCCCTAAGGCAGGCCCTACTCCAAATCCCCTTAACCCCCAAACCCTTCCACACCCCCAAACCCCCAAACCCCCAAAGCCCCACATCCCAAACCCAACACCCACCAGGAAACCCTAAACCCTTAGCCCCCAAACCCCGCACCCTAAACTCTAAAACCCTGAAGGCACATGTTTCCGGGCCGCCCCCCTGTTGCCAAAGCGCGCCTTCCGCTACGACCGGGGCAGGCTTTGAACGGGTTCCTCTTAAGGCTTCTACAAGGTGTAGGGTTTCGGTTCCCTAAGGGCTCTGATAGGATCTTGCAGGTTTCTTAATTATGAGGCTCCAATGGGTTGTTATGGTATGGGGTGTCTACAGCAGCTCGTTAGGGGTGGTATTCGGATTGGCGGGTCTAGGGGTTGGAGGCTGATGGTTCCAGGAAGGAGAGGTTGAGGGCGTAGGGCCCCAAAACCCTAAACCCTAAGAAGGGGTTCTGGGATTCTATGCGGGTCGTTTAAGTCGCAGGGTTTTTGGGGTTTTGGGGGACTTTACGGGCGTAGGCTTTCGCGTTCGGCGGTGTCTGTAGAGTTGCAGTTGAGGGGTTCAGCGCTTTAAGGGTTTAAGGCCTCAGGTTCAGGACTTTCAGGGTTTCGGCTCAAGGGGTGGAAACTTCGGCATTCTCCTGTGGGTTTTCGTCCCTTTAAATGGCTTGCCAAATTTTCCCTCCCTCCGGCTCACGTGCTGCAACCACCAAACCCCAAAACTCTAACCTCTGAGAAGCCCCTGAACTACAAGTTACAATAGTCGGCACAGCAGCACGTTCATCGTACGGCCATTTTCATATTCGTGGAAACAAGGGACCAACATATAGACACGTTTAGGGTTTGTAGCAGCCGCATAGAAAGACAATAAGAACTCGACAAGAGCCCTCTACGAAGCCCACGACTGAAGGTAGCAAGTTGCCTAAGCCCCTCAACCCCTCAACCCGAAACGCTAACCCTTTTAAACCCTAACCCCTAGACCCCAACCCTAAACCCTAACTAAACCCTAACCCCTAAACCAGTGGACCCCTAAGACCCTGAGACTTGGTTTCGTGGCCGACGGCTGCAACGGGCAGCGGCGGAGACATCAAAGAAGGACGGGGGTTCAGGGCTTAGGCTTAGGGGTTTAGGCTTAGGGTTTAGGGTTTAGGGTTCATGGTTGATTGTCAGGTTTTTCGTTGTGAGCTACCGGACCATGTCATGCGCAGAGGAAGTCTGAACACGGTGTTGGAATGCTTGGGGAGGCTTGGAGCATTGCTGGGAAGGGACGTGCTTTCAATGTTTCTGTGCCCTAAACCCTAAACTCTAAGCCCTAAACCCTTTTTCTAGACGTGTGATTTCGGACCTTTCCACCTCAATCCTGAACTCCAAAAAGTCGAGGAAAGGGAAGGTGAAACTGTGCTGTTTCGGGTGCTGGCGAAGTCTGATAGGCTTCTTGGAGGGCTTTCGGTTTCGTGAGCCCAGTCGACTTGAAACGGTAGGACCTTTAACAAGTGGAATAGGGTTCCTTTGAGGTTTTAGGGTTTAGGGCTTTCAGGGGTTAGAGACTTTAATAAGTAGAATAGGATTCCTTTGAGGTTTTAGGGTTTGGGGTCCTTCATAAGTGGAAAACAGGGTTCCCTTGAGGCACCTTCAAAGGGTTCTATGCTATTGCTGCAGGGGTTCCTGTGGGCGGCTGCGGCAATTGCTTGAGACTTTTGCCAAGACTTGTCGAGTAGGCTCCGTGAATCTGTTGCAATCACGATTGCTTCCACCAGCTGTGGCCATGCCTGTGCCAAAGTCACATTCACTAGGACTAGTTCCCCTCCTCGTGCTGGTAGATCTTGTAGCCTAGGAAGACAATCGTTGGCAGTGTGCGTGTGGCTGCTCCACCGACATTTCGGGAAAAGCAGACACAGACCTTGAGGTTGTTTGGTTTTGTTAGCCATGGATGGAGCAAAACGTAACCAGCGTTGACACAGCACCTCAGCACCGGCTTTTGAATTGCTGGGAATCGCCAAATAGTATAAGCTGAGGACAGGTATACACTCCCCCTAGTGCAGGAGTTTCATTTCAGAAAAAGAGGGAACCGTATCATGGAACCTCTAATAGTAGGATCCTCATTATAAGGACGCACAAATAAGGCTATCCCTAGTTTTCCGAAACCCCTGAAAATCCTAAAGCCCTAAACCCTAAACCTAAATTCTAAACCTTAAGCCCTATCTTTCCGAAACTCCTCCCCCTCTTAGCCCAAAAGCCCTAAACCCGAAACCCTAAACCCAAGCCCTAAACCCGAAACCCCCATTTCGATTCAGGAGCTGCTGAAGTTTGCTGTGCCCGCGCTCGGCATTTCCGTAGCTGCACCGCTCATGACGAGCCTAGACCTGACCCTGCGGCTTCAGTGTTTAGGGTTTCGGGGTTCAGGGTTTAGGGATTTCGGGATATAGGGGTTCAGGGCTTTAGGGCCTAGCGGTTTAGGGGTTTAGGGCTTTAGTGTTAGGGGTTTCGGGGTTTAGGGGTTCAGGGCTTTTTGGGGCTGTAGTGTTTAAGGGATCCTTTACGGGGTCCTTTGAGTGATCTTTTCAGGGATGTAGACGGGTGTAGGGATTGGGAGTTTAGGGGTTTAGGGCTTTAGGCGTTGGGGCTGTAGGGTTTAGGGGTTTATTGGTTCAGGGTTTAGGGTTTCAGAGTTTAGGGGTTTAGGGGTTTAGGGCAAATTTTTGAACCTGGTTAAGACACCCCGGTCCGACAACCCCAAAATTTTAGGATCCCCGTAAGAAACCCAGGGACTCTTATGAAACTTTACCGGCTTTGAGCTTGCAAGCCGAGGAGACGCGCATCTGGCCTCTAAACCCTAAACCCTAAACCCTAAACCCTAAACTATAAACCTCAACAATCAAAGGCCCTCAACCCTCAACCCGAAGCCTCAATCTGTAATCTCCTCTAAGCTCTAAGCCAACTTGGAGGTTCATGGGTAGTTCTAAGTGGGGTTCTAAGTCCCCTAGTATGGGTTATAACTATAGTCACCCTACATATAACTCCACTTACAACTACCCCCAAACCCTAAACCCTAAAAAACCCAAAGAACCCTTTAAACAAAACCCTTTCAAAGTAACCCCATGAGCCCCACTTATAACTACTCATGAACCTCCAAGTACGGGTCTGGCAGGCAGGCTTCCGAAATCAGAGGATGCCTGGATTAAGTAGGCTGGGGCAGATCCTGGGTCTCGTC